CGCTTCTAGTAACAAGTGCCTTACTAGTAGTAACAAGACGCTGCTAGGGGCTCCTGGCCTTACTAGTAACAAGAAGCTACTAGGAACAAGTGCATCGCTTCTAGTAACAAGGGCATCGCTACTAGGAGCAAGACGCTACTAGGGGCTCCTGGCCTTACTAGTAACAAGAAGCTACTAGGAACAAGTGCATCGCTTCTAGTAACAAGTGCTTTACTAGTAGTAACAAGACGCTACTAGGGGCTCGTGGCCTTACTAGGAACAAGAAGAAACTAGGAACAAGTGCATCGCTTCTCGTAACAAGTGCCTTACTAGTAGTAACAAGACGCTACTAGGGGCTCCTGGCCTTACTAGCAACAAGAAGCTACTAGGAACAAGTGCATCGCTTCTAGTAACAAGTGCCTTACTAGTAGTAACAAGACGCTACTGGGGGCTCCTGGCCTTACTAGTAACAAGAAGCTACTAGGAACAAGTGCATCGCTTCTAGTAACAAGTGCCTTACTAGTAGTAACAAGACGCTACTAGGGGCTCGTGGCCTTACTAGTAACAAGAAGCTACTAGGAACAAGTGCATCGCTTCTAGTAACAAGTGCCTTAACTAGTAGTAACAAGACGCTACTAGGGGCTCGTGGCCTTACTAGTAACAAGAAGCTACTAGGAACAAGTGCATCGCTTCTAGTAACAAGTGCCTTAACTAGTAGTAACAAGACGCTACTAGGGGCTCGTGGCCTTACTAGTAACAAGAAGCTACTAGGAACAAGTGCATCGCTTCTAGTAACAAGTGCCTTACTAGTAGTAACAAGACGCTACTAGGGGCTCGTGGCCTTACTACTAAGGGCTCCTGGCATCGCCTACTAGGAGCAAGGATGCTACGAGCGGGGCACCGATCGGTCACTTCCCGGAGCTGCCCGTCCTGTCTGTTTCCAGTCGAACTTCCAAGGGCCGATCCAAGGAACTGGTCCGTTGCACTTTTAGCTTCTTGTTATTACTAGTAAGGCACTTGTTACTAGTAGTAAGGCACTTGTTACTAGTAGTAAGGCACTTGTTACTAGTAGTAAGGCACTTGTTTCTACTACTTGCACTTCATTCGATCTCTCAGTTCCAGGTCTTTCACCAAGCTACTGGGTCCGGGCATTTCAGCTCAATCTCGCATTGTTCGCCCATCCATCCCTCATGGCATTTGCAGGTGCCTTGCCCAACAATGAAAGCACCAAGACGACAAAACTCGTAATTCTTGCCTTGATTCTCCCCAAAGGCGTGGTTGTGAACATCGTTTACTCCCATATAGTGCAAGTGAGCACCACTTTGGGCTTCTTAGGTGTACAATTGTATACAAGTCCTTCCCGCCTGGAATGGGACAATCTCCATGACCGTTGCAGCACATGGGCAGTGAGCAATCCACTCCACCCCAGCCGAAGAAGCAAATGCATTGCCCTGCTGATAGAAATTGGTGGTGAGTTCACACTGACTCACACTCAAAAGGATCCGCATGCCATGGTCATACAATGTTCAACTGAAAAAAAACATCGACTCAGACCGAACACCTTCTAATTCAAGTTTGCCTAGCAACATATGTATAAACTTACAACGAAAAATGCAATATACACAGTGAGTATGCAATTACTCATAATAATTTAGGCACTAATGTTTGTTATTTACTTTTTGAGCGAAAGAAAAACGCATCCACAGTACAACGATGGTTCTTCGAGGAAACTTCTAATTGCGCAGCTGGTTCTTCTGGCCTCCGGTGCAAGCACCCTTACCGCTGCAGCCACTGGGGCAGTGGTTTTCACAGGCAAGACCTGTGTAGTTCGCCATGCAACTGCAAGTGCCATCCACCTCACACCTGCCACGACGGCAAGCAAAGGGTTTGATAGGGTGGCTCCATGAATAGTTCAACGGTTGATGTGCCAAACTACATTATGCATTGGTTCCAAGAATATAGACCAAGAGAAGCGGGTGAGACAAACATAAAGAAATAAAACATCATTGAACAATGATTGCTGAATGTAAGTGATACACTCACCGCTCCTGTTCGTGTGGATGAAAAAGCATGGAAAACACTGAGCAGGATATGAGTGGCTTCAAAGCTGCACTCCCAGAAAAACAAGTGATTGTCTGTTCGTAGCCACGAAGCCGCTTTCTACCTCTTACCAAACGCTTTTGATCCTGCCTGCCCTTGTGATTGCAATCTTCTGGGCAACTAGGTGGAGCGATGCTCTTCACTTTCTTGGTGTCCACAACAGGCAACTCCTGCTCAAGTCGTTGCAAAATCTAGAGTCAAGCTCAAGCTCTGAAGCAGCACAAATCATGCGCCAGTTGTGTGGGGTCTTGCCCGTATGCCCTCATTAAAACACAACTTGGTGATGTTGCAATGCCTTCTGGTTGCACTTCTGAGTAATTGATTTTCCCCAAACAGTTTACTGTTGAGGTTCTCTCTTAGGAAAAAAGGGCTGGCCACACTGGCTGGCCGCGCCCCTTGAACTCTGTGTCCAGGTCCTGTCTTCCTCTAGTCCTCCTCTTGTCCTGTTGCTGTCTTTTGGGCGCGCTGGACAACCCTCCTCTTATCCTTCATCTGTTTGTCCTCCGTTGTCCTCATGTCCTCCTGCTGTCGTGCTCTTTACGCTGCTGTGCGAGGCAGGGAACAACAGTTCTTACCGACTGCAACCTGTTTGGGGGCTATGCTATGCTTGTATAACTGTTTACTACGACAGCAAGTTGAGCCGAAGTCTGGGTCTGCATCTGGTCAGGAGCGGTGGCCCCCACAGATGCGCGCCAGGCGCCACGGTCGCACTTGGGGCCTCTTCAGGTTTTGCCTGGGGCACAATGATCTTTGGCATGGGCGCACGCTCTGCGCAGCTTAAGCCCCGATATCCACCAGTACCTCGGCAGGTGACCATCTTCATGCTAACAAAAAGCACCAACAGGCTGGACCAACATTTGTGCCAGGCTGCACACGCACTTGCCACTGTCGCAGTAGCCGTGGCCGTTGCAATCATCTTTGCAGCGTGGGAACTCACCTCAATGGTCTTATGCTCTGACGATTTGCAAATACTGGAAGCAAGCACAATGTGTCGCTTGGTTACTGGTGTAGCACTTCAACAATATAATTTGGCCTTCCATGCAACTTTGCTTGCCGCACAAGTGACATGGCCAGGTTGGCACCATTATCTGTCCGAGTGACAAGCTGCGCCGTAGAAAGCGCTATCACAAGCACATCTGCCGTCCAAACAAGAACCTCGACCACTGCAGTCATCCTTGCAACGCACCTGAGCGATCAAGTAGGGTTTCTGTATGTCTACAAGCAAAATCTTTTTGGCGGCCATCGCTATTAAAAGGGTGCAGGTCATCTCTATTAAAAGGTTTAAAGGGTGAAGGCCATCGCTACGAAAAGGGTGGAGGCCATCGCTATTAGGTTGGAAGCCATTGCTACTAGGGTGGAGGCCATCGCTACTAGGGTGGAGGCCATCGCTATTAGGTTGGAGGCCATCGCTATTCGGAAGGAGGCCATCGCTATTGGGTTGGAGGCCATCGCTACTAGGGTGGAGGCCATCGTTATTAGGTTGGAGGCCATCGCTATTAGAGTGGAGGCCATAGCTATTAGGTTGGAGGCCATCGCCAGTAGGTTGGAGGCCATCGCCAGTAGGTTGGAGGCGTCGCATGGCGTCGCTATTAGGTTTACTTCTGGACCTGATGTGAGCCTTCACTGCAGAACATGTTGGATTGTCCTGCCAACAATCTGCTGCATAGCTAGTGCAGGCTGTGCTTACTTAGAAAGGTCCAACATCTGCAATGGTTGAGAGACTGCCACTGCCACATCATGCACATCATTGCTTTCAAGCTTTCGTTTGAGCGGCAGGGAAAATGTGTTTGTTGAATCCAATCATTTGGAAAAAGCAGGGCACTTGAATCCCTTTGATGTCAATATGTGCCCTCTTTATGTATGTTCACAGGATTTCACAGGTTTCCTTTGCCAAGCAGCTCAAAATAGGGTCACAACACACTAAAACACCGCAACAATGACGACGACAACAACATGAGAAGCCGTTCGCAGGAGCTATCCCAGCTCGAAATTCTTGTGATCCAACCCAGTTAGTTAAATTCACAACCCTCCAAGGCCTCTCTATCCTATCCGCTTCTCCAAGGCACTACGTCGCATGCCTCACCTGTGTAGCCGTCTTCGCAGCGGCAAACACCCATGGAGCAACTGCCATGACCTCGCAAAACCACACCGCAGGTGACATTGCCAGGGTGACACTGCAGGCAGTTGGATGGGAGAAGTCATAAAGAACCATGAAGATTACATTCCTGGTGTCATTGCAAACATGTGATTCATAACCTTGCTTAAGGGTTGCAAAAGACAGCATGAGGCAACTG